ACCACTACGGCAGTGTAGTAGGATTTGAGATTCATCTATGTTTGATACTGAAATCGAAATGCCTTCCCTCTTAAGTCTAGAGGGGGAAAATCCAACGTGCTTGTCAGTGCTAGTGAACATGTATTTATGTGTCTGGCCAGTCCAGTTAGGCACGAAAATGAAATAGAAGACATTGGCCAACTGAGTAGAAGAGATCCCTATTTGTTCCCATTCCTATGAAGGATGATCTAATACAATGTCAAAATTATTGTACAAGATGTGCCACTAAATCAGAAGGACAGCTACCTGGCCAATTGAGTGGAATAAATCCATATTTGTTCCCATTCCAATAAGTGACCAAGGTGTGGAAATTATCAAACCGTATCATTACTATCACATGCAAGCAATATCCTGCTGAAAATTATCCAACAACAACTGGAACATTAGCAGAGAACTTCCAGATGTTCAGACTGAGTTCAGAAGAGGCTGTGTTAATAGGCATTTGCTGGAGATGGTCAAGGACTTCAGTATAATTTGAAGCTCAACATCAAGAAAACAAACGTTCTCACCACTAAGTTGAATGGCAGCATCATGCGAGATGGTGAAAAGATTGAGATTGTTAACAGCTTCATTTTGCTTGGCTCCACAATCAACACTCTTGATACCAGCAGCCAGGAAATCAAAAGAGTGATTGCATTGGGAAAACTTGCTGTCAGGGACTTCGGTAGAGTAGTGAATTCCAACTCTCAATCTTATCAACTGTCAATCTTAAGATGCACCTTGTACAGGTCATGGTCTTCCGTAATTGCTTGCTGTGTGTTAGAGGTCTTGACAGTGACTCATGGTGATAGAAGAAGAATTGATGCTTTTATGTTGTGGTACTGGAGCAGGGCAGTGAATATACCATGAATTGTTAGGAAAACAAACAGGTTCATCTTGGAGAAAGTGAAACAATGCTGCTCCTTAGAGGCAAGGATTCTCATGCTCCTTGTGACATAGTCTGGTCATGTTGCAAGGAAGGAATAGTTCTTGGAGAGGGACATCATGCTGAGAAAGGTCGATGGAAAGCAAAAGATAGGATGACCTTGGATGAGAAGATTTGACACAGTGACTGGGGTAACTGAATTAGGTATGTTAAAGACATTGAGGTTGCCTCAAGATAGAACAGGTCGCTATGAGTCATAAGCAACTTGATGACATATAACAACATTAAAATCACATGCAAACAGAATATTGCTGAAGATTATCCTAAAATGGCTAGGGCTATACATTAAGAATGAATGGCCTGAAGTTCAAGCCAGGTTTTGAAGAGACCGTGATACCTGGGACTATCATTTGTATTGTCAGATGGATCCTGCCTGAAATCGGAGCATAGTAGAAGCACTACTGTTTTTATTCTGTTGTTTATGCAGAGGCATTGGAGGGAATCATAACAAATTATGGCTAATATCAAGAAGAAAGGCCATCCCTGAACCCTTATTTATGCTTATAGGATACCTATACCTAGACCAAGAAGCTGTTGTACAAATAGAACAAGGGAATACTTAATGGTTTAAATAAGGAAAGGTGTCTGTCAGCGTTGTATCCTTTCTGCTTACCTGTTTAATCTTTACACTCGGCAAATACTTTGAGAAGCTCGGCTCTCTGATGATTGGTTTGGCATCAGACATGAGGAATACTTAAGAACAGCCTGTGGTAGGCAGATGACACAGTTTAGCCTGCTGAACATGAGCAGGACTTGAAACACTTTTTGGAGAAGATAAAAGACTATAACCTTCAATATAAATTGCACCTAAACATCAGAAGTAAAAAATCTTTACCACCAGACTGATAATGACATCATAATTTATGGAGAAATGATTGAAAATGTCAGTGCTTTTTTCTTACTTGAATGCACAATTGACACCTTTGCTCCTAGCTGTCAGGAGTTCAGGAGACATGTTGCATTGGCCATGTATGTCTCTTAGGGACTTCTCTAAAGTACCACAGAGTTATGGTGGTGGTTTGTAGATTGAATACACTTGATTCAGGCCATGGTCTTTTCTGTCACTTGCTATACCTCTGAAAGGTGTACAGTGACTAAGGATAACTGAAGAAGAATTGGTACCTTTGTATTGGAGAAGAGTACTGAATATAAACATCGAATGTATAAAAATCCCAAGATTCCACTGAAGAGATTGTTGGCAAGTCTTAAGTTCATTAAGGTTTCAGGACAAATCAGTATATAGATATTTTTTGTATTCCTTTATATTTTCAAATGTTTCTAATTACACAGTATATAGGGAGTTCAGTATTCCTAACTGAAAAGGTTATGCTTATCTGGCAGTTCAAATCCAACAGCAACTCTGTGGGAGAAAGATGTGCGGTTTCATCTCATGTAATTTGCAGTTCCTAGTGGGTTGTCTCTGAGTCTGTTTGCCTGGGTATGAGTTATGAGTTACATTCTAAATGTTCAATCTAATGATAAAATTAAGAAAATAACTCTTATTTCCAAGAACCTCAGACCCAAATGCACTGAAATCAAGGAAAATCTGTTTCATAGTGACACTTCATCTGGTTTCTCAGGATATAATTCTTTATGGGTGATGATGACCCATCTTTAATCATACAACATGTCTGGTGAATTTTAACTGATGATGGTTAGCAGCACAGCTCATGATACAGTGTGCAACCAGTGGTCCTCCCATTTTCTATAAAACTAAAAATTTTAAGTATATAAGAATAAATCTATCAAAAGAATTATAAAACTTATATTCTGAACAGGGCACATTTTAAAAGCACTATGACTTAAATAAATGGTAAGTTAATCTCATGTTCATAGATCAGAAGATTTAGTATAATCGGATTAATTTACATATTTAATACAGACCTCAACAAAATCCCAGCCAGCTTCTTTTAAGAAAATTCAAAAGCTAACTGCATTTCACGTGGAAATTAAATGGCTCTTAGTATTGTCTAAATAGTTTTGAGAAAATAACAGAGTTGTAGGATTTATACCTCTTAAGTATAAACTTGGCTAATTATCATGTTTGAAGACATTGTGATTCTGGCATAAAATGTAGAACAATGATACAGTTATACAGAAAGAATTACTTTTATGGTCATTTTCTTTATGGTGAGTTGAAGTTGGCGCAGGGCCACTAGGCCATGACCTGCTCAGTGACCTGTTTAATCTGAAGTCATTATATTTGTGCTCTATATTTATTCTCTTTGATTTTCACTCATGATGCCTTATTTTCTTGTGTATGGAAGTACTTGTACTGGAGGTTTTGAATATCCTTTAGAATATTGTATGTTAGATTTTGTTGAGTTCTCAGAGAAAGCTGGGCTAATCTAGAAATAATTTGTAGTTACTTTAGTGATCTGGGAGTATTTTGGCCAGGAATTGCTCTAAATTCCTCTAGTATTTGCTTGAACTGTTAAACTTTTAAATTAGGAGGAATTTGGGTTGATTGTAGTGGTAAAGAGTTATTTCTCCATGGTGCTGTTAATCTTATTCCTCTGCGTATTACAGATAATGTTACCAGTATTTTCATTGTATTCACCCCAATTTAAGGGTAATATTTTTTATTTATGTGAACTTTGCTTCCTATTATTAGAAGATATTATGATGTTAAAGTATTTTTGAGTATATATGAACCTACATCTCTAAAGAGCAAAATTTTTAATACCAGCAGTTCACACCCTTAGCTCCTTGGGATAAAGATGGGCAGTCATTTCCATCTTAATATTATTGTTTGTATTAGGTACTGTTGAATTGACTACAACTCTTAGAAACCCTTTGAAATAGATCTGATCCTATGCTGCACCATTCTCTTGATCTCTGATATACTTTACCCCATTTTTAGAGTCATTGTGTCAGTTTCTGTCATTGAGCATCTTTGTCTCTTTTTTCTGACCCCTCCCTTTCCTGAATTCTTTTTCAAAGTACTTGCTTCTGACAGCATGGTAAAAATGTATCAGAAAGAGTTTCTTGCTTCTCAGGAGCACCCTGGTTGTACATCTTCTAAGTTAGATTGTTCTTTTAGTAGCCTATAGGATATTCAGTACTCTTCTCCAACACAAGTGTCCAATTTTCAGATATATAGGTAGCAGTTGGCAGTATCCTTGAAACTGTTATCTTTATACTTTGGAGAGGTTCTTGATATCAAATCTTCCCAATGAAACATATCTTTTGATTTCTTGACACCACCCCCCAGGTGATGATTATAGATCCAAGCAAAATAAAATCATTGCCAGCTTGTTTTCTCCATTTTTTTAAGATGTAGCCTGAGCATTTTTGGTTTTTTTTGTTGGGATGTGTTTCATATTGAAGATTGTCATTGCTCTTCTGTAGTGATAATTCAGGAAGCAGGGCTATGTCATCTGCATTGTACAGCTTGTTGATGACTCTTTCTCCAGTCATGACTTCACTTTCTTCTTTCATATTGCTCAGCATATGGATTAAATAAGAATGGAGAAACAATTAACCTTGATGCACACTTTACCAGATTTTAAACCATGCAGTCAGTGTTCCCTTGTTTTTTTCAAGCATCTGTTTCTTGGACTTTGTATAGGTTTCATCTCTAGAATGCAGGAAGCATCAACAGGAGTGGAAGAAATAAACAGAGTCACTCTACAAAAACTAATTGGTTTATAAGGAATCATTTTTGGAAGTAGCATGTAATCACCATAGTAATGAAGGAAGCTGAAGACTTTCTGATCTCAAAATATCCTACACAGCTACAGTAATCAAAACGCTTGGTACTTGTACAATGACAAGTAAAAAGAAAGACCAGTGCAATAGTTTTGGGAACCCAGTAATACATCCATGTATGGACAGCTGATCTTTAACACTGTCACCTATGACAAGGGGCTCATCTCTAAAGTTTTATAAAAACTCCCGACACATCAGGAAGGAAATGATAAGCAGTGTACTTCTAGAATCAACCGTGGACATTCATATAAAAAAACCGTAACCTAGACATACTTGTTAAAGTACTCTCTTGTCTTTTGTTTAACCTCTGTTTTCATTTCATTAGGTGTAGGTAATAGCAGTGAAGGTGGAAGAGGAAAGGCAGGTGCAAAACTTTTTCAAGATTTTCAGATGTTAAGTAGAATCTGGACTCATCCTTGGTGTTTGCAGCTAGACTATATTAGCAAAGAAAATAAGGTAAATCAGGTAACTTATAATTGATTAAAAATTATTTGTTAGAAGCAAAATAACCTACCATAAAAGTTGATCAATGCAGACTCTTAGTATAGTAACATTTACTTTTGTTTTTCACCCAATTTTATTTGTAGCTAATTAGAATACATCTAAATGCCTTAGGAAACTTTTCTTAGCCTATTGATTTCAATTTTTATCTTTTTCTTTTGAAATAATTTTTATCTCACAGAAAAGGTATGAAAATAGCTTATTGTTTTTTATCCTTATTTTTACATTATTCATAGGTATACTAAATTATTCAGAACTAATTAACACTTTTCATTCAACTTAATAACAGCTTTTATTTAAATTTCACTAGTTTTTCTATTAATATACCTTTTCTGTCTGTAGTATAATCCACACCAACACATTGCATTTTTTTAGTCATACTTGTCATGTCTTCTTTCGATGATTGTTCCCTAGTTCATCCTTATTTCATAAGTTATTTTTTAAACTAGATAAGCTGATGTCATCATCATTTTTATTGTTGATTGAAATGATTTAATAAAATACTTTTTTCCTCTAGGGATATTTTGATGAAGACAGCATGGATGAGTTCATAGCTTCAGATTCTGATGAAACCTCCATGAGTTTAAGCTCCGATGATTACGCAAAGTAAATTATATGAATTTTATGTTGTGTTTTGTCATGTTTGAAATTCTTAATTTTTCATTATCTTCCTTCTAATTGGCAATTGAATCTTTACTCTGTTTTCATAAATAATCTGAATTCCTTCCTTTTTAGAAAGAAAAAAACAAAGGGGAAAAGGGGAAGAAAAGATAGTAGTTCAAGTGGAAGTGGCAGCGATAATGATGTTGAAGTAATTAAAGTCTGGAACTCAAGATCTAGAGGAGGTGGTGAAGGAAATCTTGATGAAACAGGAAACAACCCCTCCGTTTCTTTAAAACTGGAAGAAAGTGAGTGTATTGCTTTTATCATGGTACATTGTTTCAGAATGTACCATGTTATTACTGCTTTATTATTCCTTTATTATCCTTACAAGTTCCTTTAAATAAATTTCATTCTTAAATGTTAAGAGTTAGGAAAATCTGGAACACTTAATTATAACAACTGATGAATATTTATAGGAAAACATTCTATTCTCTGTTATTAGGCATAAAAGTGAGTAGAAAAGATAGAAATTATTAATCTAATTGTTCTTGGAGAAACCTTTGAATGTTAATTGCTATCTTTATAATTATAAAAATACTGAAACCCAAATTCATGTAGCTAAAGAACGGTAGAAATGTAATTCAGTCCTAGACTTTTTCTATCGCAAAAACACCATGATAATTTCAATGGGATTTAGTTCAGACATAGAAATGTTATTAAAATTAATTTTATATAGCAAAACTATTTTTTTTAATGTGTGTACCGTCAAATTGGATCTGACTGGTACAGGAGGCGATTATTCCTCCTTCTTCAGCAGAGCATCCGGTGGATTTGAACTGCACACCTCTGGGATTGCAGTAGAGTTTCCTGCCACTAGGCCACTAGAGCTCGCCAGCAAAACTATTTTTATTGGTTTGTTTTTGAGTTCATATACATTGTGTTTCATACTGTTATTCATTCATATTTTGTTTCCGACAATTAATTTTAAAGGTCTATCTTTTTACTAGTTAAGTCTTCATAGTCTCTTATTACCGACTTTATAATTCCCTTTTATTGTATGTAGTTTATTTCATATCTTTTACTCTTTTTCATTTTTATATTAGTGTATATGCTATAGAAGTGTCAGAATTTTTCAGTGGCTCAAATTTTATTTACTCATTTGAAGGATCAGTGGTGAGAATATATCCTTCTTGTGCCCCTTATGTAGAAACTCAGTATCAGAAGTATATATTTGTATGTTAAAAAATACATGGTATAGAATTATGGAAACTGTAGAGTTGACTCATAGTAAACAAAGGAATAGTATGATGACTATATTTGTTAGTTGAAGTTAAGTAGTTAAATTTTTGTGATTGAGTAGAGAGATGTGGGAGGGAGGTTAGGTAGGTAAACAATTCTGTGCTCAGCATTTAACTATGTGCTTCACAACGAATTATATCTAACTTTGGAAAGAATGGAAACCCCAGAGAAATGGACTGTGCTCATGTGAAACTTACACCTAGAATGAGAAGCTGTTGTTTCAACAGAACAAAGGAACACTGAATGGTTCAAAACAAGAATGTTGTACATCATGGATATGTCCTTTCTCCATACCTGTTCAAACTGCATGCTGAACAAATCTTTAAAAAACCTGGTATCAAGGTCAGAGGTAGACTCTATCAACATCCTGCATTATGCAGATGACACTGCTTTGCTTGCTGAAAGTGAGGAGGATTTTAAATGCTTGCTCTAAAATTTCAAAAACAATAGCCTTTATTAAACATTTCATTTCAACATCAAGAAAATAAAAATCCTCATCATCGGGCCAGTAGGCAGTGTCTGCATCATGATTGGTTGAGAAAAGATTGAGTTGTTAGAAATTTCATATTACTTGGATTCACAATCAACATCTTTATCACCTGCAGTTAGGAAATCAAAAGGCATGTTGCATTGGGAAAATCTGCTCTCACAGACCTCTCTACAGTTCTAAAGAGCAATGATAATCTAAATACTGAGATGTGTGCTGATCTAGCCATGATCTTTTTTAATTGCTCTACTTCTGAAAACTGGACAGTGAGTAAGTATGACAGAAGAAGACTTAATGCTTTTGAGTTGTAGTTGTGAAGAGTATGGACTAACCTATGGGACTTCCACGAGAACTAATAGGTTTGTTCTGGAGAAAATGAAATTAGAGTACTCCTTACAGTCAATGATAATGAAACCCTGCCTCTCATAGTTTGGACATTTTTTCAGGAGAAGCCAGTCTCTGGAGCTTAGAAAGGTGAAGGGTCAACAGAAGAGAGGATGTCTCTTGACTAGATGTATTGACACGGTAAATGTAATGGGGTCATGTGTGTCAAAGATGGTGCAAATAAATGGCTCAGGACAGGCAGGTTAAGGTTCAGAGTCATTATTCATAGGGTGGCTATGAGTTGTACACAACTCTGTGAAACACAATAGCATCTCTCAATCTAGAATCTGAATCAATTTGGTGATTTCATATTAACCTCAGTGAAATAATACATGTTTTAGTATAAGTAGAAGCCCTGGCTGATATTTCTTAAGAAGGGAGAGCAATGGTAAAAATGAATTCTCATTCTTTCTCTCCTGTATTTCAGTTGTTTACTATTAGTTTTTATCTTTCAAGGGTTTTTTTTTTAAGATTTAAAGAATATTAGAATATGGAAGGATTGGATTTAACATTTAAAAATAAATAGAAAATGTAGTATTGTAAGATCCTATTATCTCATCTCTCCTATCCATCCTTTTCATTTATTCTTTCTCACTGAATATGATTTCTGTCACCTCATAAATAGTTTACATTTACATAGTTCTTAAAATACTCTGTTTTTTTTGCCTGAGTACAGTGTATTTTATTGATGGTACATGACAAGATCTACTCTCCAAGCCCCGCCCCTTTCTCAGGAGGACTTGATGGAAACTGTGTCAAGGATGTGAGATTCTCAGTGTGTGTGGGAATGGAGTTAGGGCAAGCACTCCCCAGTAGTTAAGGGTGTGTCTGTCTGTCTCTCTCTACCCCTCTCTCTCTATTTCTGTCTCTGTCTCTCTGTCTCTTTCTTTCGCTCTGTCTCGCTCTCCCCCCCCCCTCCTCCTTAACCTCCTTAGTGCTATTGCTGGGGCTGGTGGTCCAAGGGTTGTTATTCTTTGGAGGCTATGTGAACCATCAGGTTGACCACCCGGTTGCTGTAGCCAAATTCATTGTCGTACCAGGAAATGAGTTTGACAAAGTGGTCATTCAGGGCAATGTTAGCCCCAGCATCAAAGGTGGAAGAATGGGTGTCACTGTTAAAATCACAGTGGACAACCTGGTCTCTAATGTATCCCAGGATGCCCGTGAGGGGCTCTTCTGATGCCTGCTTTGCTACTTTCTTGATAGCATATTTGTCAGCTCTCTCCAGAGAGCAGGTCAGATCCACAACTGACATATTGAGGGTGGGGACACAGAAAGCTATGCCGGTAAATTTCCCATTCAGTTCAAGGATGACCTTGCCCACAGTCTTGGCAGTGCCAGTATATGGAGGGATGATGTTCTGGACAGCTCCATGGCTATCATGCCACAGCTTACTAAAGGGGTCTTCTGGGTGGCAGTAATGGACTGTGGTTATGAGTCCCTCTAGGACGGCAAAGTTGACATGGATGACGTAGGCCAGGGGAGCTAAGCAGTTGGTAGTGCAGGAGGCATTGCTGACAATCTTGAGAGAGTTGTCATGGTTTTCATGGTTCACACCCATCACAAGCATTGGGACATCTGCAGAATGAGCAGAGATGATTACCCGTTTGGCACCACACTTCAAGTGAGCTTCAGCCTTCTCCAGGGTTGTGAAGACACCTGTGGACTCCACAACATGTCCAGTACCAGTATCTCCCCACTTGATGTTGGCTGGATCTCACTCCTGGAAGGTAGTGATGGATTTCCCATTGATGGCCAGCTTTTCATTCTTAGTATTGACAGTGCCATTGAACTTGCCATGTGTGGAATCATACTGGAACATATAGACCATGTAGTTGAGGTTAATAAAAGAGACATTGATGGCAACAATATCCACTTTGCCAGAGTTAAAAGCAGCCCTAGTGACCATGTGGCCAATGCAGCCATGTCCTTTTACTCCAACCTTCACCATCGTGTCTCAGGGATGCATCTGAGGCTGCATGAGAAGAGAGGGTAATCTGTTGATTTACAAGGAGGAGAGAGCTTCCTTAAAATATTCTTGTTAAAGTGATTTCTTTCCTTATTCATTTGTAGGTAGATACAGATTGTCCAGCAATTGTGCCATATCCTGTGTTATGAATGAGTTACATAAAAGTTTGCCTGAGGTTTTTATTTATTTATTCTGCACCTGAAAATCCAGGTGGGATTTTCCAGGTAACTGGATCATCTCCAAAGAGGAATGCCCTATGCTGTTTTTTTATAGCATCAAATAGAAGTATTTGGACTCCTTGAATATGTTATACTGGAATTTATGTATTTAGGATCAATATATACAGAGGGAAGGTGTATATTGTAGCTTAGAAATAGATACAGATGATTAGTTTCAAAGGATAAGCTTTTACTTCTTTCTTGAGGATTTGCTTTATTTTAATTGAGAGCAGTTAAGTAAAATGTTATGTATGGAATGTGTCTTGTATTTATTTTATTTCTTGTCTTTTCTTGTACAAGTCATACTAAAGTAATTCATCTTAGCTTTTAATATTCCTGAGTCTGCCTTTTAGCTGAGTTTGTTCATAAATAGGTACTGTTAGGCTCTTAGTTTTATGTAGTTTAAATTTGTATTCATGACAAATTTTACATACTTTGAGGAGGAAGTTCTGGCTGCTCGGAAGGACTTGGCAAAAAAGAAAGCCCAAGGAATTGATGGAATGCCCATTGACATATTTCAACAAACATGCTGCCCTGGGCATGGTCTCCAGGTTGTGCCAAGAAATCTGGAGGACAACTGACTGGAAAAGATCCATGTTTATTCCCATTCCAAAAAAAGTGACCCATCAGAGTGTGAAAATTATCATACAATATCACTGATATCACACGCAAGCAAAATCCTGATGAAGATTATCCAGAAATGACTGGGATAATAAAATGACACAGAACTACCAGAAAGTAGTTTTTTTTGAAGAGGCATGGCTCTGGAGACTTCATCTCTAGTATCCAGTGGATCTTGGCAGAAAGCAGAGAACAGCAGAGGGATCTCTATCTGTGTTTGATTTACTGTGCAAAGGTATTTGACTGGATGGATCACAGGAAATTACGGTTAATATTGAGAAGATTGGGAATCAGTATGTGTTGAAGGTCAACATCAAGAAGACAAAA